CCCCCCCCCACGCACACACAGACACAGACTAACACTCTCACGCATACACAGAGACACAGACACACACACGCGTACACATACAGACACACACCGACAGAGGCACAGAGACACACTCACGCGTACACACACAGACACACACCGACAGAGACACACAGACACACTCACGCATACACACAGACTCTCTTACACACACACGTACACCCCCCCCCACGCACACACAGACACAGACTAACACTCTCACGCATACACAGAGACACAGACACACACACGCGTACACATACAGACACACACCGACAGAGGCACAGAGACACACTCACGCGTACACACACAGACACACACCGACAGAGACACACAGACACACTCACGCATACACACAGACTCTCTTACACACACACGTACACACACCGACAGAGACACAGGCACACTCACGCGTACACACACAGACTCTCTCTCACACACACACGTACACACACCGACAGAGACAAGCAGAGACTCACAAGCGCACACAGAGACACGCGCGCGAGCGCACATACACACACATGCACAGACACACACATGCACACAGAGACACGCGCGCGCACACACACAGGTACACACACACGCACGCAGAAGGGAACATATACACAAACAAGGACACACGCACGCAGCAGGGACATACCCACCCAAGGACACACAGACAGGAATACACACCCACACCCAGAGAGGAACACACATAATCACCCCGGGACACACACAAACACCGAGGGGGACTCATACATAGGGACACACAGACAGGAATATACACCCATAGGAGCACCCATACACATCCAAGGACACTCCCACAACCCTAACCCACCCAGGAACACACACACAGGAATACACATATCCACAGAGAAGAATACACACCCAAGGGCTCACACAGAGGAATACACATGAACATACAGACACACACACAGGAGAATACACGCTCAGGGACACACACACGCACACGCCGGTCCCCCACCTCCCCCCGGCTTCCTTCGCTCGGGCGCCCGTCCCTCACCTCTGCCTCGGGGCTGTCAGCGCCAGGGACACTCGGGCTGCTGCGCTCTCCGCCGCCCGGCCGCGAAGTGGTTACAGCTCATGTTAAAATGACACGAGAGTGCCCGGGTTGGGAGAGGGGCTGTACGCCTGGGGCCGGGCTCAGGTTAGCAGGGCGCCCCTAGCACTGGTGGGGCCTAGCAGTGCTGTGAAGCTGCTGCCCCATTCCCCACGCCCGGAGGACGATGCTTTAGAGATGCGATTTTATGGTCTTCAGCCACACACTCATGAAATATTTGTAGAGCAAATTTTAAACTCTGGTTCTGTTGACTAACGGGAAATTCAGAAAGGGACAGTACACACCTGGGGTAGGCAAACGCTGGTGAAGTGGTTTCATTTCCATTTTGAATGGCTTTGTCTCAGGTTCAGTGTTCTGCTAATAGCTCTGGCAGGCTTGTCACTTGGAAGTTAACTAGATTCCCCTGCAGAAAACAGAGCCCCAGACCAGGAAGAGGCGGATGGATGGACATTAAGACCTAGTGGTGCCCCACAGTTTCAGGTGCTGTATATGGGTAAGGATGGCCCTGTATGTTAGCCCAGGTACAAAGTTCATTCTGAAAAGTCACCAGCTACATACAGCGCATGACCAGCAAGAACTCCATTTAATGCTGCAGCGTGGGTATTTACACCCAAATATTTATGGTACATCACTCATGACAAGTTCTACAGAGAGTTGGGTGGGCAAAGCAACTATCACCAAGCAAAGCTTGTCTTGCAGGGATTAGGGGTAGGTGCTCTGTTAGAAAATACAGCCCATCCAGGAAGTATTTCCCTTACTTCCCATTCCCCCCACCCCCACACTCCAGCTCATCTGTCTTCAGGAGCTAGGCTGTGCCTTCTGGCTCATGAATCCATGAAACTCAGCTTCCTTCAGGCCATTCGATGGAAGAGCTGGATTGTCTCCTCCCTTCATTTTCTAGGGAGCTGAGAGAATGGCCTGTGCCGGGCATAATCCAGATACCTGGTCTCTATACTTTGGGATGAGTGTCATGGTCATGAAAACAAGGTCCTGATAAGACAAGTTGTAGGCTGGCACAGTGCAAACAGGGCTGAGGAGACTACACATCCCTCCCTAACCTCTGTACCAGTGCTGACCGGCTTCCCCCTGCCCTTCCAGACACGGGCTCAGCCCCTGCGGGGTTAGCCCTTCTCTCCGAAGCAGGCCTGAATAATGTGGTGTCTTCAGAATGCGGTCGAGACCCTCAAACACCTCACATGCAACTGAAACCATTTCCCATTTGAAGAGCTGTTTGCCTCACTGTCCCAACCCATGAACTCACTGATCCCCATCTGCTTTATCCCATTGACCCACTGTATGCATCTCAGCCTTTGGCTTTGTCCTTGCACCCTCTTTTCCCCCGCCATGCCATCTGCTCCATCCCTGTGTCCTTAATCCCTCTCGTGTGCACTGCTCTGCTATCTCGGCCCTGCATTCTGAACTTCTCAGCACCTCCCCATCTGCTTCTCCCGCAACCCAGTATTTTGCAAGAGTTGCCTCAGCAGAGTCCATCTGTCCTAGCACCACATCTGTGCCCTTCCCAGGGTGCCTGCCTTGGCTGACCTCAATCCCTCTCTCCGGCATCCACTCTAATGGAGTCGTCTTTGCTGCTCCATTCCGCTCTAGCTCTCTTGCCTCCCATATTCCTCTATGCTTGATTCAAGTCTGCACGTTAATCAAAGCGGCTCTGTTACTTGGCAGCACGTTCCCACAATGAAGAAAGAACATGTCAAAGCAGAATTGCCCAATTGGGCATCCAAAGTGGAAGCAACTGGAGTACCATTTGATTCACCCAGCAGCTTGCTCAGAGAAGGCGTTGTGCCTCCAGCCAGAGGGCCCTGCCTTTTCAATCGCCCATTTTAAAGAAAGCTCCTAGCAAGAGCTGCACAGGAAGTGTCCTCTTTTTACTATCATCAGTAACCATGCTCCACTCCAATGGAGCAAGCTGCCCATTCAGCCCATTACTGAATTTGTATAAGGCAGGTGGATGGTCCTTGCCTCCCACCCCAGCCTGTGGTACGATCTTCACTGGACATGGAACCAAGCATAACCCACTTGAGATGTTCTAAGACCCTACCTCCACCATAGGAGCTACCATGGTGAAATATCTGCCTGACATATAGTTGTCACCCAGAAATGCTAAGAGGCGAGTCAGTCTGGTAATGTAAGTGGAATGAACTATGGCTGAATCACGTTCTTAAGCCATGCAAAAGCACTGGACATTTGCAGAGCCGTGGAGAACATGGTTCAGTCCTGGCTACATCTCCAGGCAAAGTTGCAGAGCAATGCTGGACCCAGGATCAGGGGAACCTGAGCGCTGTGCTTATTCTGGAGTGGACACTAGCTGCCAGAAGAGGAACTGTGGGACTCACCTCCAACACTGAGTGGTTTAGCCCACAGACGGAGCCCTTGCTTCAGGCACCTAGACACAAAGTGTTGGGAAATGCCACAGCCAGGGATAGTCCTGTGCTCTGGGATCCTCTCCTGGGAGTTAGGAGAAGGAAAGAGCCAATGCATGGGGAAGCAGACAGCTCAGATCTGTCATGCAGCCCAGGACGCCAACCCTAGAGAGCCAACATTCGAAGGAGGCAGAACTGAGCTTCTGCAAAGCTGCTGAGCTCAGAGCCAAAAGAGCCAGTCCCAGGTTTCTCAAGCTTTGCTGGAGAAGGGCAGAAATTTCACTGCATCCTGTTGATCCGGACAAGAGATACATGGAGGTGTTCATGCCCATCTTGTGGAAAATGCTGGCACTGAGACCTCAGACCCTACTGCAATGTAGATATATCAGCTATCATACTTCCTTATGTTTGTCTGGGACAGCACTTAAGTTGCAGCCTGGAACATGTGGGTGAAGAGCTAGGAGGAATGGATTTCTTGTCATTATTTCAAGCACAGGGTAAAGCCCTAGGCATGGCTGTGAGGGTCCCACATGAGGGCTACGTCTAGACTGGCATGATTTTCCAGAAATGATTTTAATGGAAAAGTTTTCTGTTAAAAGCATTTTTGGAAAAGAGCGTCTAGATTGGCACAGACGCTTTTCCGCAAAAGCACTTTTTGCGGAAAAGCGTCCGTGGCCAATCTAGATGTGCTTTTGTGCAAAAAAGCCCTGATCGCCATTTTCACCATCTGGACTTTTTTGCACAAAACAAATCTGAGCTGTCTACACTGGCCCTTTTGCACAAAAGTTTTGCGCAAAAGGGACTTTTGCCTGAATGGGAGCAGCATAGTATTTCCGCAAAAAGCACTGATTTCTTACAGTAGGAAGTCAGTGCTTTTGCGGAAATTCAACCGGCCAGTGTAGACAGCCGGCAAGTTTTTCCGGAAAAGCAGCTGATTTTCCAGAAAAACTGGCCAGTCTAGACACAGCCGAGAAGATTATGTGCGCAGTGCATCAGGCATAGGAGAACAAGGCCTGATTTAATGAGAGCCCACCTAACCCTGGGGCTTCTAACACCTTTGAAAGTGTTTGACTTGTTTGCCTGTTCTCACTGCCAAGTCACAGCCAGGAAGGGAAGCAGCAGCACCAAAATTCAAGGCAAGTGAGCGCCCTTGTGGTCTTGCTGACCCAGACAACTAGAAAGCCTTGCGGATCCCAAGAAAGCCTGAGCCAAGACATCCAGGTACACGGAAATGAACATCCACAGCCCAACCCTGCCAGCCCTGGGCAGGTGGAGCTCCCAGAGACTCAGGGAGAGTTCTGCCCATGGATAGTCTCCTACCAAACAGATGAACCCTCCCTGCAGGGAAACAGTGATCAGTAAAGCTCGGAGGGAGGTTCCTTGCTGGCAAGACTCAGGGCTTGTGCTGAAGGAGTTCCTGGGACCCAATGTGTCCATCACTACTTTTACAGTGCAGCTCCTGCTTGTAGCCCCAGCGATTTACACATGGCCTGGTGCCCACGAGGCAAGGCCCTCCATCCCCAGGCATGTGTGGTGTGATATTAACTAGAGTGGTCACCAGGATGCTTCAGGTTAGCAAATGCTGAGGCCGAGCACAACACGTAATCCAGGCAATGTTCAGCTATGCCCGTTCCTTCTTCGGACCCTGGCACCCAACTGGGTGTGGGTAGTAAGGGGTCCCCTCCACTCTGAGCTCTCTTGCTGTGACTTCTCCAGGTCAGTGGTGTTAGCTAATTCATTATTCCAAGTGAATGACCAGGTGGATGGAGCCCTCTAGCAGCCTAACCCCAGCAGAAATCTTCATAGCAAATGTCAGACAGTTGCAGGTAAACTCTGGACTGGAGGGTTTTTTGAGTCTCTCCCTTGGAAATGGGCTTTGGTAGCAATGCCCCATTCTCCTTCCCTATTTGGGGATTCCTGGCTGCTGTTTCCAGACGGGGCTTTGAATGTGCTCTGCTTTGTTTCCTCCGCAGGAGCTACTGTGCCTACGTGGTGCAGAGAAATGTGACGTGCACCCTGCAGGACGGGGTGGAGAGCTACGTGAAGGCAGAGTATCACAAGTGCAGCTGGGGGCCCAAGTGCCCAGGGAAAGTCCTGTGAGTACATGTTGGACATAACCATGTGTGTGGCATGCTGGGATCCCAAGGCTGTTCACACTCAATGCTTGCCCTAGTGCAGCATGTATGGAAATGCGAGCGCACTGCTTTCATGCCACAGTCCCAGGCAGTGTGGCCTGTGAGCTGGGCACTTGTGAGGCCACTCAGGAGAAATTCACATGTGGCCCAGCTGATTAACAGAGTGCCCACAGCTAGGTTTTGTGTTTCTATTGGTGGTGCACATCCACACATCTCAGTGCACATAAAAATTCATTCCACACATGAGTGGAAAGAAGAGATTAGAGGGAACATTGGCCCCAGGGCTAGGCCACATGCAGCCTGCATGGATGAAGTTATCTGGCTTCCAGCAGACACTAAAGATGAGTGGGCATTGGGTTTGTTTCTCTGGAATGTGGGGGCAGTGGAAATTGGATCAGAAAAAGAGGACCTGTGGATGGCATGCTGGATGGGGCTCCTTCTCCCCAGGGATTTCCAAGCAATGACTTTCCATTTGAGTTTCAGCACTCTTGCATTAGACGGGTCGGAAACAGCAATATAGGGAGGCGAAGCAAGGTGCCCAGGATCACACAGTGCCTCACATTAGTGAAGTCATGAACAGAACCCTGTAGACAGTGTTCACTTCTGGCCAGCCTGGTCCAAAATATACAGTGGCAGCAGAAGGTGGTTCAGAGACAGGCGGACAGAGCTAAGGCACTTCTGAATTAGGAGAGATGGGAAGGACGGGGATGGGTTAGAGAGAGAACTGGGCAGTCATGTTAGAGGTACACAGATTACTAAATGAGACAGAATCCTAGAAGCATAGAATACTAGAACTGAAAGGGACCTCAAGCGGTCATCAAGTCCAGTCCCCTGCCCTCACAGCAGAACCAAGCACCATCTGGATCATCCCTGATAGATGTCTGTCTAACCTGCTCTTAAATATCTCCAGAGATAGAGATTCTATAACCTCCCTAGGCAATTTATTCCAGTGCTTAACCTCCCTGACAGGAAGTTTTTCCTAATGTCCAACCTAAACCTCCCTTGCTACAATTTAAGCCCATTGCTTCTTGTTCTATCCTCAGAGGTCAAGGAGAACAATTTTCTTCCTCCTTCTTGTAACACACAGATGATCATAAATCATCATAACCAACCTGTATGATGCACTTTTCATCCATAGGTCTCAAAACACTTTACAGGGGAGATCAGTATCATTAGTTTCATTTTACAAAAGAGGAAACTGAAGGGCAAAGAAGGGGCATGCCTTGTGTAAGGACAGCAGCCAAAAGCCCAGGCTTTCGGAGTCCAGGCCAGCATGCCAACCACCAGTTCATCCTGCCTTTCCCCAAGAACATCCTGTTGGCTATCTTACAGCATAGAGAACAGCTAGCAAAACCAAAAGGCAACATATTTAAAAGCAATCAAAGGGCATACTCTTCCCTGCAATGCATGTCAGATCTGTGGAACTCCTTGCCACAAGACACCACTCAAGTCAGGAACCTAGCAGGACTCAGAATAGGATTAGTCATTTATATGGATAGTAACATCAATCACAGTTGCATTAGATAAGTTAAAATAGAAGGGATACAAACCTTCATGCTTTGGGCCATACACCAATCATGACCTGCCTGGAGTAGGAAGAAACATGCCCTTGTAGGAGGTCATGGCATAACTCTCCAGCACAAGGTTTGGGGATGGGAGTTGTACCTACCTCTGAGGCAGCTGCTGTTGGTCACTGGAAGAGGCAGAATACTGGGCTGCTGCTAGATGGCTCCATCTATCTCCCAAGCTCCTGAGCTCATCACTAGGTGTTGATGCCATCAGCTGAGGCTCTCTGGTCTCATTCCCTACAGCTGTCTCTGAGTGACCCAAGGAAGGGGAAAGGACAGCACAGACCTCCACCTTTTTGACCCAGGTGCATTGCACTAGCCAGAGCTCTGTCTGGAGCCCATGACTTCTGCTCCTTAAGCAGCCTGAGGGAGTGCAATCCTAGAACTCCCTGCACTATGACCCATGTCTCCTTGACCCAGCACCCAGCCTTCTGCACTTGCCACTGGGTCCTTGGGCCAGCCAGACTCATGGGGCAAGACAAAGGTGACCCATGGGTTTTCTTTTTCTTGCCCAGCCATTACAGTGCTTAGGACTAGAACCCTTTCTCATGCCCCCACCGTCTGCTTTGAAGAGCAGAGACTATTCCCAAGGCACAAGCTCTTCATTTTTTCTCTTTTTTTTTGGGGGGGGGGGGTGCCATTTAAACCAAGCACACTGCTCCTCCTGGAGAGAGAAAGGAGTGGGGCCCTGATGTGCCAGGCCTACCAGCAAGCTGCTCCTACTGGGGACATAAGGAGCAGGAGTTTGTGTGGGAGGGGTCACTCAAAGTCTCTGTCCCAGTTAGGGAGCAGAAGAGCAGCCTCCAGTCCTGCCCAACACCAGGGCTGTGTCTAGACTGGCCAGTTTTTCCGGAAAATTAGCCACTTTTCCGGAAAAACTTGCCAGTTGTCTACACTGGCCGCTTGAATTTCCGCAAAAGCACTGACTTCCTACTGTAAGAAATCACTGCTTCTTGCGGAAATACTATTCTGCTCCCGTTCGGGCAAAAATCCCTTTTGCACAAAGCTTTTGCGCAAAAGGGCCAGTGTAGACAGCTCTGATTTGTTTTCCGCAAAAAAGCCCCGATCGCAAAAATGGCAATGGGGGCTTTTTTGTGGAAAAGCGCATCTAGATTGGCATGGACGCATGCCAATCTAGACACTCTGTTCCGAAAATGCTTTTAATGGAAAACTTTTCCGTTAAAAGCATTTCTGGAAAAATCATGCCAATCTAGACGCAGCCCAGCAGTTTGGAGAGACACGCCTCCTCCCACACCAGCATATCTCCCACCCGACCTGCCCTCTCTTCCCATCTCCCTCTCACACAGAAGAGGAATGGAAAAGACCCAATTGTAGTGTGGTGGTCTGTGGTACTTCTCACTAATGCTTCTCTCAGATCCTCTTCCAGTAGCCCCATCCCAGCAGACTGCAACAGGAACGAAACTAAGCCTCTGTCCCACTGTGGAGTAAGGCAGTCCAACACAGCTCTATCCACGGTATCAAGACTGGGGGAACTCACATGCTTTGTAGAGGTGGCCTACTAAGTTTCCCCTTCCAAAGGAAGCTGCCTAAATTCATCTAGCAAAGAGTCTAAACAACCACACTGTAACGGCTGGGGGAGAACTGACTAGAGATTGAAGGGAGTGGCTCAGCAGAAAATTCCAATACAAATTACATTAATTTTGGTTTTGCCAAAAATTGTCATGAAAATTTGCTGAAGCATTTCAATTTGGAATGTCTGCCATGGTGTCTCCCGCTCCCATTCTCTTCTATGAGCTGGGCTCTTTCATTGGTCTACATCTCCCATGATACACCAAGGTGAAGAGAAGGTAGTGCATCATGGGACTCCCTGGACATCATGAATCCTGGGAGTTGTAGTCTGGTTGGGGAACTTCCTACAGAAGAATGGGGACATGTAGCAGCTGAACTACAACTCTGCAGCGATACTGGAACAGAATATTTGAGTTGTCAGGAGATAATTGTTGGCTTTTTGTCTAGTTTTTGTTGTTGTTTTTTTTTATGAAAAGTCCAACATTTCTGTAAGAAAGAGTCAATTTTGGTGAACATTTTCACCTTGTCAATAATCCAATTTGACTGAAAAATTTAGATCTGCCCACATCCATCATTCAAATGCAGAGGGGAAGAAGGTGTAGGCCATGCAACGGGAATCTGCCAGTTTCCTGTACCAGGAAAGTTTTTGTAAACTCCCAGCCATCTAGTAATGATCCAATGAAAAAACCCTGCTATTCAGCAAATCTAGGGCTGGACTCTTTCCTCTCTGCTTCTCTAACATTTGCATCCAAGGAGCTAAGGACTTGTTTGGACATTAATTTGTCCTCACTATCCTGGGAGATAGCTAAGCAGGGCTGCGATCTCACCCTTCTCTCACTAATGGCTGCCCCAAGGAAGTTAAGGGTCTGATTGAGGTGCAGCCCCGCCCCCCAATCTCACACTGAAGCCAGTGGGAGCCATGAGTGCTCTACACCAATACAAATCAAGCCTATAAGCCAGGTCTTTCTCTGAACTCAGCATGTCGCATGCTGAGCTCCTGAGGAAACCCAACTGGCAGCTCAGCAACAGAGTTAAGAGCAAATCCCAAGAGCCAGGACTCTCAGCCTCTGCTGTGCTTCTTGGCTGAGAGATTTTGACAGTATCCAATAGGAGGAGAATGAATGAACTTCAGCAAAGGCAGGGAGATCCCTGCATTGCCCCCGTCCTCAAAAATATCATAACCACTAGGACTCTCACAGTTGCCACTATGCTGCATTCTGTAACTTGCATGGGATTTCTGTGAGATTGGGGAGGGGAGAACTCAGACCACCCTGGTCCCAAAAGGCCTGTACTGACCACTTTAGCTAGAGGAGAATCTCCACTAGCTGATAGCAGCATAGGGCCTATGACACACCATTTAGAAGCCTTCTGGTGGAAAGCAGTAGTACAAACATAAAAACCTGCTCTTTATGTACATCCATCATTAGCCAAATTCATTCTCAAGCATCTGGGGTTGGCAGGAGTTCACCTTACTCAGACATGGATTTAAAAACTTCTAGGCTCTCCAAGTTGATACCATGCTGCACAATGACACTCACACCACCACTGCAACCTCGGGGCTAGAACCTAGCTCTCATCCCCCCCCATGTGAGCTAAAGAGGGTCTTGCTTGTCCGTGTGCGGGACCTGCGACATAAAGTTACACTGTAGGGGCAGCAGTGCACACCGTATCTGCTAGCTAGTCAGTTGGTAACCAGCCCCACTGACTGCCCTGCTCACATTCCCTGGCCCATCGCATCCCTTCAAACACACGCTCAACTCCATGGCTTTTGCTGACGGGCTGCCTAGGCCAGCTGCACTTTTTACACAGCTTGGAATGCTGCACACTAGAGAGAGGCAGTTTTTCCAGGCTCTGTTGATCCAGCTGCAATAAATACTTCCTGTTGCTGACATTCAGGGGCTTGTGGGGAGGGGTCAGGTTCTTAATTGCAGAAGGGCCGTGCGTTCCTTATTGCGAGTGGGGCTGAGGGGCAGTGCAGTGGGGACGGGAGCGTCTCGTGTGCCGGACGCCTCACCCGCCGCGTCCCTCCTTCCACTTACAACCTCTGCCTCTGCCAAGTGAAAAGCGCAACAGGCTGCAGCCCAAATATCTGCTGAGAGCAGAGGCAATGGCTGGTGCCAATGTTGTTATTGACAGGGGCTGAGCTCGGCAGCTTTTACTGTGCACCATGATATTTCCGGGCAGATTTAAACACTCTATAAAAAATACCATAGAAACTTGGAGGCTTCTGCAGGGAGGAATAATAAAAAGCAAGCTGGTTTTTCCAGCCCCTGCTCCCCCTTTCTGACCCTCGCTGGTGTTTCCAATTGAACAAACAGCAGCTCACGGCAGGTTCCTGCGCAGCGTGACGGTCTGTGGCAGTTGGCCAAAAGGAGGCTGGAGGAACCAGCCGCTGAACAAAACCTTTCCCAGTGGCCAGGGACTCACTGGAAAAAACACACCAACAAGAACAAGCCCTCCTTTCCCAAGCACACGGAGAGCAGTAGAACCAGAGCGGCTCTGTGATGGTAGCTCTGTGTTGCTGTCCCTTTGGGGAAGGTGCAAGGTTCCATGTGTGTCCTTGGCCACATACATATGAATCAATGCCTGTATCCATCTACCTGTATGCAGCCTACACACCCACACCCCAGTGAATAGGGACAGAGGTGCAGGCGAGATGCCCGTGCATCCATGGCTGTCCATGTCAGTTCATGCTTTGCACCTCACCTCAACATGCTTGTCAGCATCCTTTGTACCAATGCATGTCTGCCCTTGCACACGTTGGAACATAAAGTGCTCCCCGGTGGGCAAAGGCATCTCCCTTTGTGCTTGACAGATGGTTAGCACATTCCCCATCCCACGTGCAGAATTGTTGCAAGGTGGAGTGGAAAGCTGAGGGGCCCAGCTTAATAAAGGTACGGACGAGCTGAATGTTTCCCACTTGGAAATGCTGTGTCGGCAAAACAGAGATGGTTCACAGGAATGCTGATTTCAACTAAGTTTAAAAGAAAATAATTGAAATATACTAGCAGATTTACCTAGTGTTGCTCTGGTCCTTAACTCAATTAATTCTTTAAATAAAAGGAAAATGCACATAATATATGGGAATGATTGTATTTTTCAAAAATACAGTGTTATGTTTATGAAATTAATTTTAGTAATTTTTAAAGGGAAATTCCTCAATCCATCAAGTGTACTTTTTTCCTTGATCCCTATAAACTCTTATCATTTGCCATGTTTTTTTTTTTAAAGAACTATAGCCAATTTGGTTTCCAGTAGAACTGTCTTCCAGTTTTCAAATCTTAAACATCGATTTAACTGTGCCAAAAAGAGCACTACTCCAAATTTCTCTTTTCTGTAAGGTTTATTGAGCAGCAGTCCTATTCCAAATTCATCCTATTTTTCTGGCTCGTCTTGGTTCAGTCTCTTTCAATATTCACTCAGTTATGTCCATTTTGAAGACTGTACATGATTTGGCGATTCTGTCTCTTTTCTGTATGGTTCTATGAGAAGCAATCCCATTCTAGGCACATCCCATTTTCCTGGCACAACCAAACCTTTACATTGCTTTAAATTATTGCAAGAGGAAGCTGTATACCAAATTTGGTGATTCTAGCTCTTAACTTTTAGGAGGAATTTTTGATCAAATAGACAAATGGTCTAAAATACATAGTAAATTATGTTTCAATCATAGCAAAATGTTTTGTTGAGATGACTGTAATGTTTCCAAAATGAAATATATTAGAATTTTCATTCCCTGGCAAATTTCAACTTTTTGTGCCAATTTGGACCAAAGAGAATTTCAAAATATTAGCCTTTCCTGAAGAGCAGCAATTCCACTTTCAGAGCAGCTTTAACAGTGGTTCAGCTCACTTTGGGTATGTCCACACAGCAGCATTATTTCGGAATAACGTTAGTTATTCCAAATTAACAAAGAGCGTGTCTACACTGCAAGCCATTATTTTGAAATAATGGTGAGCTGGAGGACTTCTTACTCCAACTCCTGTAACCCTCATTTCAAGAGGAGTAAGGGAAGCTGAAGGAAGAGTGTTTTTCCTTTGACTTCCTGCTGTGTCGGCAGTGCCAAAAGCCAAGTTAAGCTATTTCGGCTTAAGCTACATGATTGACATAGTTCAGGTTGCGTAGCTTAATTCGACTTTAGCCCTGCCGTGTAGACATACCCTTTGGGAGCAAGATTCAGGTCCATTTCCATTTTGTCCCAATTGGTTCCCACGCTCCCAGTTCATACAAGGTCACAGGAACTCAGACAAGGATGAGGCCTAGGGAGGAAGTGGTGGTGATGGGAGTAGCTTAACCCTGTGTAAGGATAGCTGTTGAATTCACATTAGCAACATTACCTCAGCAGCAGAGTGGAGGGAGGGTATTGAGAAGGGATTAAGGTAAAGGGTGTGGACAGATGGCCTTGTTGTTAAATCCCAGGTACGCATTCTGGGACTAGCTCTACCCCATTGTAAAGGGGCCCTAGGATGCGTCTTTTAACCCCCATTCTCCTTCTGTAAAATGTGGGCAGTAAAATCTGCTGTCAAGAAGTGTTATAAAGCTCACTCCATCTCCCTTAGTGAGGGGTTTTCAGGGTGAATTAGGGGCACAGGGTTATAACAACAACATCCACGCAACCCACCATGCTTCCCATGAGGGGAAATACAGAGACTGTGCACTGCTGCCCCCTACTGCTTAAAACATATCAGCACTTTAGGACAAACAGAGCAGGTGGTGGTGATGTTCCATTCTAGAAGCGTTCTCCAACATACAGCCTTTTTAACCGGTATCAGACTAGTCCTGTAACATTCCACAGGAGAGATCACCCTCCCCTCCGTGCAATTCTATGGAAATGTTAAACAAACTTTGGGGGAAAGTTTTTGTTTTAAATTCTGTAACATTGAGTCATTTCCACCAACTCCTTTGAGGGTTTTTTTTCTTTATTACAGAGGCTGTCACTTAGTGTGTATTTGTGCTGCCTCTAGCAAAATGAAGCCCCCTTGTAACTGCCCTTGCTATGGGCTTTTTATTTTCAAAGTGAGAGTCACAGCAAAGAAAAAGAAAGGTGCATACGCCATCCTTTGCACGTGCCACCCGTTCTCTCCATCCATTTCTTGTCCATCTGATTGCAAGCTCATGGAGAGGGACAGGGGAGAGCTGTCTCTTACTCTATTTGCACAGTGAATGGGGCCTGTAGACAAATACAGCATCATCCACCCACGTGACAGTGTGTGGGCTGGGAAGAGAAACGTCAATAACCGTTATTATTTATCGTCCCTAACATGCCGGGATGAGCGTGGCTTTCAACAAGGCTTTCAAAAGACAAGACTAGTGGCTGATTCAGGCTACTCCCTCTGTAACAAAGTGCTTGAGCTCTAGATTTTGGCCTGTAACTCTGCTCTCCTTTCCTTCCTCATCTCCAAAAAGGTACCGCACCTTCTTCAGGCCCAAATACAAGATTGGCTACAAGACTGTGACTGAGCTGGCATGGAGGTGCTGCCCAGGACTCATGGGAGAAGGGTGCCATGACAGCCCCACCGATCAACCAGGCCTGTTACCTCAGAGACCCAGCCCTAAGATTCCTCCTGGCCACAAGATGTTTCCAGGCCCCAGAGTTCCTCCTCATCCCCAAATCCACCCCGAACCATTTCCAAGTCCAAAGAAGAACCATTATGGTGAGTGATGGAACCCTCCCTGGGGAGCTGCCTTGCCTTTGATTTCCCACACACGGGTTATGGTTTCATAGAAACCAATGACACCGTCGGCCATATTGTTAGCACTCTCAGCAGAGCCTGCAAGGACAGAGGCTTCAATCTCTGAGGTGACTGTCCATCGACATGACTTTGGTAACGGGTTGACTTAATTTTGTAGTGTAGACCCATAAGGAAGATTACCTGCAGCTCCGGTTTGAGCCATAATAGCAGGGCAATGTGAGGAAACTTACATGACTGCAGTTGCTTGAGCCGTACTGGCCCCAGGCTCAGAGGACCTCCCTCGCCTGGGCTATTAAAACAGCTTTCACCAGCACCTGTGCACAGTGTTGGTTGGCTCTGGGCTCTTGGGTTTCACACACTCACTGCAGCATGGTCCATTGGAGGCAAAGTCAGAGGCACTGTAAAATTCACTAGTAAATGGCTGTGTCTAGACTGGCAAGTTTTTCCGCAAAATCTTCAGATAAGATCGTCAGTGTTCTTGCGGAAATACTGTGCTGCTTCCGTTCGGGCAAAAGCCCTCTTGCGCAAATCATTTGTGCAAAAGGGCCAGTGTAAACAGCACAGGACTGTTTTCCGCAAAAAAGCCCCGATCGCGAAAATGGCAATCGGGGCTTTTTTTGCAGAAAACTGCATCTAGATGGGCCACGGATGCTTTTCCACAAAAAGTGCTTTTGCGGAAAAGCGTCCTGCCAATCTAGCCGCGATTTTTCCGAAAATGCTTTTAACGGAAAACTTTTCCGTTAAAAGCATTTCCGGAAAATCATGCCAGTGTAGACGTAGCCAATGTGTATAAGGTAAGTTGGGCTTTAGGGACAAATTGATAGATGCTAATTCAACAGGTTCCAGCAGCCTGTTCCGGCTGAGCTAGCATCTGCAACTGAGTGGCTACAAGCTGCCTGCGCAGAAGGGGCAGTGGGAACGCTTGAAGGGGTCTTTCAGTCCTGGCCCTTTGCAAAAATTCCTTCCATCTTGCACAAAGGAAGTGTCTTTCTTACAGAGGCACAGTGGAAGTCACCCTCCAGGCAGGAAATTCTCTGCAGGGCAGGTAGAGCACTACAGGGGTGGGATGCAAATGTCAGGACGTCACCTCTTGGGGGCTGGGCCTGGACAGATGCTCCCCTGCTTTGACACAGCTCTGCTTTTCCAAGGCTGCTCCCACCTGCACCACTGCAACTCTGATTTTCCCATTACCGGGGGCTTGCCTGGGTTCTAAACATGTGCTTGTGGGTGGGGAGAGGAGAGGTCATTACTGACCAAGCTGCACAGGGAGGTAAGCATGAGCTCAACAATGCCTCCCACCCTCCAGGGACGGAGGAAGGAGAGGATGGGCAAAGAGGCCAAGAGGAAGGTGGGGATTTGGGTTTTGAGCAGCCAGGCTTGGTTGTGCTTTACCTTGTAGGGAACACTAGGAGAACTATCCAGTTAGGGCCTGAGTCAAAGCCCACAGACATTAACAGGAGACGGCAACTGATTTTGCATAAGGCTGCTGCAGAACATGCCTATCTGGAGCATGTGTATGTACAGACGTCCCATAGAGGCTGGCTGCCCACTTGAGTGGGCAGGTGGCACTGAAAGTGCTCCCAGGACCTAGAATAGCAGAGGCTGAGAATGCAGCTCAGGGCAGCAGGAGCCCTGCGGAGTGGCGGGTACAAGTATTTATGTACCTCGGACAGCCAGTTTGCCCTGCGGAGAACGAGGGGGCAGAGGAAGGAGGCAGCGCTCTAGTGCTGCATGAGGCGGGGAAGGAGGGGGCGGAGGGAGACAGGACCACTTGGCTTTGCAGCCTCATCCAACTCAAGCCACAGAGGAGCCCTTTCCTGCTACCCACTGCTCAGCCTATAGCCAGATGCATCAGACACACTCCCACTGGAGACCGAACCCATCCCTCACAACTCGATTCACTATCAGCCCGGAGCAAGGATTATACCTGCTGGAGCCAGGCATTACAAGGAGACATGAGTTCCAGCCCAGAGAATCACAGTCACTAATACACGAAGGGAGCAGAAAAGAAGAGACTCAGTTATTCACTACCCCTCCTCTTGCAGTGATGGCCTGCCGCTGTATAGACACATAAGGACACAGCATGTCTGCCAAGCAATTAAAAACCCAGGGCTGCCCCAGGCCAGCTGACTCAGGCTCCTAGGGCTCAGGCTAAGGGGCTGCCTCACTGCAGGTAGCTATTGCAGATTGTCTCTGGGGCTCTGCCAGGTGAGCTGCAGCCAGAGCTGGAACATTTACACTGCAATGAAGCAGCCCTTTAGCCCAGGCCAGCCACAGGTTTTCAGTTGCAATGCAGACATACCCGGGAAGGCTGCTTACCATGCTAACCCTCTGAATATCTGGAGGCTGATTGCAAGCAACAGGGCAGGGGGAAGTCGGAAGTGATACAGAGCAGTTCCATTCTCCTCTGTTTCTTCTCTGATGTAGGCAGAAAGATGCCTGGCCTCTTTGGAGACAGGCTGGACCATCTGGAAGAGGAGGTCAGGCGCCTCTCGCAGTCCTACGACAGCCTGCACAACATGGTGAGCGGGCTGGGGGACCGCCTGCGTCTGGCCATCCAGGAGGACACCAACAAGATGATCGGGTCCCTGATGAACAGCCCAAGCGTGCCCGACTCCACGGTGGGTTTTGGGGTCATTCCTGATGGGATTGTGGATGTGGCTGACAAAGCAGACATCGCCACCTACCCACCCATGGGCGAGATCCTGGCCAAGGTGACCGAGGTGAGCGACGTGCTGAAGACCAAGACAGATTTGCTGGACGAGGTGCATGGCCGGGTCCTGGACCATGATGGGCAGATCAAGCACCTGCTGGAATCAGCTAGGCCATCACCCCTCACCTCCATTGACATGTTGGAGGAGTACGTCGACACCCGGCTGAGCAACCTGCGAGCAGAGCTTCTGGACGGCTTCGAGAAGAAGCTGGTGAAAATCCAGAGTAGCTGCGACTTCAGGATTAAGGAGGTGCAGCAGCAGTGCGAGGAGGAGAAAGCGGCCAACTTGCGGCTACAGCAGACCCTGGATGGCAAGGAACTGGAAATCAAGAAGGAGATCTCTCAGCTGGAGACCCAGATCCAAGGGTTGACAGTGGTGGAGAGCTGCTGCAGCAACCTGAACTACCTCACCGAGCGCATGGACATCCTGGAGAAGGGCCTGCACAGCATCTCGGACTCCCAGAAGAACCTGCACTCGCAGCTCAATGGTGAGTTCTCCACCATCACGCTAGGGAGCCTCATTGAAGGGCGCTTGGAGGACCTGGAGTCAAGGTTCAATGCCACAGAGAGAGAGACTGGCAGCTGCTGCTCCAGTTTGGAGGATAGCATGATGGGCATGGTGGGGTCAGAGCTGGATGGCGTAAGGACCTTGTTTGAGGACAAAATGAGGACCTTGGAGGACAGGTTCATGACCATTGTAGGCGAGCTGAACAACGTCAGTGCCCCAGCAGGTGTGGATGGCGCCATGATGCCCTTCCTAGAAGGGGAGCTTGCCAATATGAGGAAGCAGACAGATGAGAGGCTGGAGGGGCTGCAGAGCCGGCTCATCACCCTGGAGAGCACCTGCTTACTGGGCTGCACGTCTGCTTCCAAAGACGTGGAGACTTTCCGGACAGAAATAGAAGACTGCCAGAGCAAGAACCAGGACCTGCTGCTCAGAATGGATAGTAACAACGACCTCCTGCGCAAGCTGAACGCCACCATCCTGGATATCCAGCGGCGCATCGAGGAGGAGGCAGCCAGCTCTCTACAAGGTGAGATCACCCTTCTCAAGATCAACCTAAACACGGTGAGCAAGTCCCTGACGGGGCTCCAGGACTCCGTCTCCCAGTACTCCAACACCATGCTGCACGTCAACTCTTCGCTGGATGAGCATGAGCGCAAGATAGAGGACGAGGTCCACTCCCTTCAGGAGAAGGTGAGCGACCAAGGCTCACAGCTCATCTTCAGTGGCAGGCGCGTCCTCAACCTGAAGGGCGACCTGGAGAGACTCAAAGCCAGGATCATGAATGACCTTGGCCACTGCAAGAGTGCCGCCCAGGACCTGCAGAAGGAGGTCGCCCAGTTTGACGGCCGGGTGGCCCAGGTGGAAAACATGTGCGGCAGGCTTGGGGCTGTGACCGGGAGCCTGGACCTCATCCGGGATGAGCTGGAAAAGCACACGGGCAGCCTGTGGGGCTACATGGACCACATGAATGGGACCGTGGCTGCCCACTCTCAGGAAATAACTGTGCTGAAGGACAACCTGCTGGACTGCCAGGCCAAAGTGATGGAGCTGGCCGAACAGGTCTCCCACTTGGAAGGTGCCTCAGAAAGGAAGCAGCATTAGCTATACTGAAACCCACCTGTCTTTATCCTTGAAGAACAGAATTAACTTATATCACACAGACTCTACTGTGACATTGGGGTTTTTTAATGTAAATGAAAAGCTGCTATCCCTTCTCCCAGCTCTGTGTTTTAACTTGTTTTTGCCTGAGAAAAAGTGAAATCCTACAGCCCAAGTTGTCCCTTCGCCATTATTGGACTGGACTGGAAATGACTTCCTTCTAGACACGTAGCAGCGAGGTGCCTGGCTGCAGCTGGGCGGGTACTACGTCGCTATGACCCAGGAATGACCATTCAGGACCAAGCTCAAGGCAGAATCCTCTTGGTGGATGGAGTGATTCTCAAGGAATAAAGCTCTGTATTTGTAAGTCGGGAATGGACGAACTCTGTTCCTAAAGGGTCACGTGCAACTTCCCCACGGGGGCAAAGAGACAATCAAGTACCCCCCATCACAAGGCCCATCAGGGGACATTTGGATTTTAACAGGGAAAGCCTTCTAGCATGTACCCCTCTTTGACAGGGTTTCCATTCTATTCACATTTCCCACTTGTCCTACACACACACCCGCTTCCCCCCACACTCCTTTTGACAGTTAGCATAGGGGGATATGTATTAAGACATGTCTGTTCACAGCCTTCTTCCTCCTCCCTACTCCTGATTGCAATGTCCTCTGTCAGCTTCCTCCACCCTGCCTGTTGTGCTATGGATCATACAACATGCCCGGTTGGACTCTTTTTAGCATGGCATTTTGAGGGGAGACCATTTTAGGACCATACCAAGCCTGAACTGAAGGTTCTGAGGGTGCCTGTGTGTTTGCAGGCCAAACAAATTGAACCCAACCCTTTGCTTGTTGCCTACATCATGTTGGAACCTAGGTCTTGGAAGATGAAGCGTCTGGGCATTACGCCACAGTCCTGGGGAGTGATTTAAGCAATAACAGGGGAGTGGATTGATGCAGGTGGCTTTACTGCCCAAGATGCCGCAGATGTAGGTTTAGAGGAGTAGGATTTATCTGTTCCCAGGCTACACAGGGCAAGGCGTGTTTGTGTCCACTACCCCCTCATCACACAGACAGCAGCAGGCAACCGGGATCACATCCACTTCACACACCATAGGGCCCCTGAAGCCCTCCTTGGCTATGTGACTTCCCTAAAAAGGGACAGAGGCAGGAGGCAAAGCAGGGCAAGTCTCTTACAGCGCCTTTGAAAGAGGAACTCTTCCTAGTGTGGGACAGAGGAGGGAAATCAAGGGAAACTCAAATCAGCAGCCCCCTTTGGGCGATCTCAGCATTGCAGCTGGGTCCGATGAGGCACAAAGGAGCCCAGTGCAGTGTCTGAGAGCTTGGAGTAGTTCTGGTGAGTTTAGCACTGCGGATTCACCCTACTGTGGAACCAGGAAGTGACGGGGTCTCTGCTCCTAGGTCTGGGCCATTTCATGTCACTGGCATGTGTGTGACATAAGACAATTTTATTCTGGTTCTAAGAACAGGAGTTCCTCTGCCACAGGCTGTAGCCCAAGAAACAAGGGAAAGGTTCAACTCTGGTTTCAGGTGGGACTGATGGCCTGGCTGGAATGAGCAGACGTGCCCTTGGCTCAGACAGCAGTGACAGAGAGGACACAACCCAGCACCCCCATTGGAGTCCACACAGACATGGCCAGGGCTGCTTGGCTAAGTTGGACTTAGTCACCACGAAAAGGAAATGGAGTCTCTATTTCCGATACATTGGCACTTCAGCATGGTCTGCTTCAGTTCTCTGCACCTGCTGCCGTGGCAGCCCTGCCCACTCCCTCCTCTTTTCTCCCCCGTGCTTCCACTCATTTTCAGTCAGTTAGTCTCATCCGCTTCCTTCTAGTACCACATTTCTCCCGTGGCCCATCACACCAGAGCACAAGTCCAGGGGGAAACAGGGCTCTGAAGAAAGCTTGCCTTTGCACCATTTCCCCATTAAGCACGTGGTAAATGCTTGCCCCAGAGAGCACATGGAAACATCCTCATGTAATACAGCTTTTATGAAAGCCCCAGCCTGGGAGGGGAAAGCATTTCCCTTTTAAGCTGAAGAGCTGGGGATGCAGCATGCTGTCCACCTCTGGGCAGAATAAATTTTGTTGTGTGCACCAAGGGAAGTGCAGATATGCACCACCAGGAGAAACATGCTACCAGCTTTGGGTAGCTGTGGACACTCTGCTAACAAGCTGGGTGGTACCTGGATCGCTGCTGGGTGACTGCCGAAGCAGCTGGCTTACAGGGAACACTGCTACAGAGCTCAGTGGTGGAGGCAGGGTAGGAGCACACATCAAGGCTGCCCACTGAGACCATCTGACATGCTCTCCAGCACAAAGCCCTAGCTTCTCCACCCTTTAGAGGCTGGGCTTTCCAGGCTGCATGAGATAAGGTGTGGACACAGCAAGGACAGCTCTAAGCACAGGTAAGATGTCTCTCCCCGGGGTGGGAGAGAGGCCCTAGAACAGCGTTTCTTACACTGTGTTCCACAGCACACTGGTGTGCCACGGAGAACAACAGAATTCAAAATGGCCATCCTTAAAGGAGAAGGTGACTTTTTTTTTTGCTCAACAAAAAATCCTTCATGTTCCTCATTAAAAAAAATTGTTTGGTGTTCCCCGCTCTTAAAAAGTGTAAGAAACGCTGCCCTAGAGCAAAGCTAGACCATCTCCTTGACACCCCAGAAAACCCCTCTTGCAACCTGGGGCTACACTTCACTTCTTTGGGCTGAGGCACTTAACTGCACTGCTTCTTGCCTCCAGAGAGCCCTCTGCAGCAGGGGCAAGTGTTCTGTGGCCAAAGCCAGCTTCATAGTCGCTTCAAGTAGGGACCCCTAAGTGAGCAGTTAAGAGGAAGATAAACTGGAGAGCTGGAAATGTGGTTTCTCTCTAGCCCGTGTGATTTTAAAATGGGGAGCTCCCTGGCACGCAGAGGAATGTAGGCTGTTCGAACACACCTGTGCAGGATGATTGGTTGGGGGGGAGGGGAGAGAAAGGTTGCTCTTTCAGAAATGGTGCTATGTGTGACCTCCTCTCTCACCCCTCACTTGAATGTGCTGACCGTTTTTATGTCTGCTCCAAGACACTCACATTTAAAAGCTAAATCAGGTGGGGTTTTAAATGGGCAGTTGCTGCTTTCGAAGAAGGAATTGGGAGCATGCCTTCACTCAATATTGTGGGGGTGGTTGTAGGGGCAGTGCTGAAACCGACTTCAGAGGCCATTTGGAATTGTTTTGAAAAAAACTTTGTACAGTTGATCAGATGTTAAGGGCAGTTTGTACTGAGAACAAAAAAAAAAATTAAACTTCATGCCGAGGTTTCTGGTATCAGCCGACTGCCGTGGAATTAACAGAAAGTGCCGAGTGCTCAGAGCTTGGCTTCCTGAGAGAGGCAGCCAAGGTTGACACACACAAGAGAGATTTTCCAGACCAAGGCCTGTGAGGGGTGAAAGCGAGGTGGAGGGAGGGCAGGGTTGCAGCCTTGTTCAGGCCCTGGTAGTGGAAATGCAGTAGCACTCGATACATGCTGAATGTGCTTGTGCGCACAGCACTTGGCATGCAGCTCTTTCTCTTTATTTCATAAGTAAGTGGATGCAGCTCAGGAATTGGACGGGGCGCTCCTAGAGGACAGACGTCCAAACAGCTCCAGCCAGGTCTCCCTTGTGACACTAAATTATGACCAGATTTTGGAGAGTGCTGAGTGCTTTGGAAAGTCTGCATACGAGGATGGGCAGGGAGCCTTTGTGCAAAGTCTGGCTTTAGAGCAGAGGTCTGATGCCACAGCTGCTCTCTGGGGACCACAAGGCTCACAAGAACCTGCCTTGGGTTGTTTTTAAATGAGAGCAGAGGCTGCAGTGAGGTCTAAACCGACACCAGTGAACCCTTTTGTGCCCAGCTGCCATCACGCTCTGCCATGGAGCACGGGCTGCAATGCAGGGGAAAGCTGCAGACAACATAAGCATCCCTATAGCTGACTGGGAGAGCGAAGAGAGCCAATATAGGAGTTGAAATCCATTTGGAGTTAAAGCTCCTGCCATATGGATTAGATACAGGCACCTAGAACCATAGGCACAGGACCAAGTGGCAGAGACATGCTATAGTACTTCCGGTAGCCATGCCCCCAGCCTCCCTAGGCCTGGGGTCCTAGCTATCAGCCTCTTTACCTCGTCCATAGTCCCCAGTCCCAGCTGAGAGCTGGAGTTTGGGGAACCACTTCTCTACAGCTTCCTTAGCTGGTGTTCAACACCCCCTCCCCCATAAAACATGCTCCACCACCCTGTTGGAGTTCCTGCCCCTCTTGCTCTGTGACAGGAGCACTGAACAGAAACCATTGAAGAGAGAGACAAGCCCAGCTTAGCCCCACACAGAAAGGGGGTGAAGAAAGCCCCACTTTGCTCCAGTGCACTTTTCATGTTACAGTTTCCATTTTCCCACAAGCAGGCTGTGTCTACATTAGCATCCCTTTTCTGGAAAAGGGTGCCAATGAGGCACTTTGGTGCTTTTCTCCAGCAAAACCCCGAGCTGGAAAAAAGTGGCAGCCATGTTCATGCAAATGCCCCGGGGGATATTTAAAGCCCCTGCAGCATTTGCAATTCCAAAGTGTCTCATTAGCACCCCTTTTCCGGAAAAGGGTGCCAATGTAGACACAGCCCCAGGATGTCAAGTCAGAACATTTCTGGAAGGGCTGCAGAACAGGCCCAGGTCAGAACTCCTGGGTTCTGCTCTTGCCTCTGCCAACAGCTCATGAGCTGGCCTGAAGCAAGTCACAACTTCTGCCTCAAATTGCCCTCTGTTAAAAATCAGCTTCGTACTTGGAAGGCTTCAGCGTAGAAGCACCAGAGAGCCTCCCCCAGAAACATGCAGTCATAGATGGTAAGTGGGATCCCTAGGAAGCAAATCAAGCAGGGTGTGGATGCAGGTCCCAGCAGACCCTTGCTCCGGTTAGTATCATCACACAGGCCAAGAGCAGCAGCAAGGAACCGGGACCAGCCTGTGCTTGTTTCATGGAATAGAAACCTCAACTCCTAGAGGAAGGTTTGCAAGCACCATGCCCCAGCTGTACCTTGGAGGACAAACTGCCACCAAGGTGGCCCAGCACTAGGATTTCAGGGGATAGGGGGGGGGGGGGGGAGGAGAAGGAGGAGGGGAGATGTTCAAAGGCAACAGAACTAATCCCTGGGCAGGTTTCAGCTTCCTGATATAAGCTCAGAGGGCTCCAACGCCCTAGTGCACTCCAAGCTTTACCACCACTTCAGTGGCACCTGTGCTCAGCCATACACAAAACAGGTCCAAAGCAGGAGCCAGACATGGGGCTTTAAGGCATGATGGGTTAATGCTATTAGCGACCAACCATTTTAATCCTGACACTCTCCAGCCTTCTAATAAAAACCAAAATTCATTGAGCAATTCACTTGCCTCGCAGCTGAACCAAGGAGAGTTCAGAGCTGGGTAGATCAAGATGTGGACCCTCACCTTGAAAAAAGCCACAGTGCCTTAATGGCTACCTGTAGTCTGGGAGCAGCAGCAAAACGGTACCTGGCAGCAGCCACAGTGAAGACCCACAAGTAGATGAACCCGAGGGGATCCACCCCCAACATCAACAAGTCATTTCAACCCTATAAGAACCTCAAGAACTTGGTTGACAGGAAACGCTTCCAAGTCCTACAGCGTAAACAAGCTGTTCAAGTCACCCCCTGGATTATCATAGAATCATAGGACTGGAAGGGACCTCAAGAGGTCATCGAGTCCAGCCCCCCGCCCTCAAGGCAGGACCAAGCTCCACCTACACCATCCCTGACAGATGTCTATCCAACCTGTTCTTAAATATCTCCAGAGAGGGAGATTCCACCACCTCCCTTGGCAATTTATTCCAATATTTGACCACCCTGACAGTTAGGAATTTTTTCCTAATGTCCAATCTAAACCTCCCCTGCTGCACTTTAAGCCCATTACTCCTTGTCCTGTCCTCAGAAACCAAGAGGAACAAATTTTCTCCTTCCTCCTTGTGACACCCTTTTAGATATTTGAAAGCCGCTATCATGTCCCCCCTTAATCTTCTTTTTTCCAACCTAAACAAGCCCAGTTCATGAAGCCTGGCTTCATAGGTCATGTTCGCTAGACCTTTAATCATTCTTGTCGCTCTTCTCTGTACCCTTTCCAATTTCTCCACATCTTTCTTGAAATGTGGCGCCCAGAACTGGACACAGTACTCCAGCTGAGGCCTAACTAGTGCAGAGTAGAGCGGCAGAATGACTTCACGAGTTTTGCTTACAACACACCTGTTGATACAACCTAGAATCATATTTGCTTTTTTGGCAACAGCATCACACTGTTGACTCATATTCAACTTGTGGTCCACTATGCCCCCTAGATCCCTTTCTGCCATGCTCCTTCCTAGACAGTCGCTTCCCATCTTGTATGTATGGAACTGATTGTTCCTTCCTAAGTGGAGCACTTTGCATTTCTCTTTATTAAACCTCATCCTGTTTACCTCTGACCATTTCTCTAACTTGCTAAGGTCATTTTGAATTATGTCCCTATCCTCCAAAGAAGTCGCAACCCCACCCAGTTTGGTATCATCCGCAAACTTAATAAGCGTACTCTCTATCCCAATATCTACATCATTGATGAAGATATTGAACAGTACGGGTCCCAAAATAGACCCTTGAGGAACTCCACTTGTTATCCCTTTCCAGCAGGATTTAGAACCGTTAACAACAACTCTCTGACTACGGTTATCCAGCCAATTATGCACCCACCTTATCATGGCCCTATCTAAGTTATATTTGCCTAGTTTATCAATAAGAATATCATGCGAGACCGTATCAAATGCCTTACTAAAGTCTAGGTATATGACATCCACCGCTTCTCCCTTATCCACAAGGCTCGTTATCTTATCAAAGAAAGCTATCAGATTAGTTTGGCATGACTTGTTCTTCACAAACCCATGCTGGCTATTCCCTATCACTTTATTACCTTCCAAGTGTTTGCATAGGATTTCCTTAATTACCTGCTCCATTATCTTCCCTGGGACAGACGTTAAACTGACCGGTCTATAGTTTCCTGGGTTGTTCTTATTCCCCTTTTTATAGATGGGCACAATATTTGCCCTTTTCCAGTCTTCTGGAATCTCCCCTGTCTGCCATGATTTTTCAAAGATCATAGCTAAAGGCTCAGATACCTCCTCTATCAGCTCCTTGAGTATCCTGGGATGCATTTCATCAGGACCTGGTGACTTGCTGACATCTAACTTTCCTAAGTGACTTTTAACTTGTTCTTTGTGAATCCTATCTTCTAAACCTACCCTCTCTCTGCTTGTATTCACTACGTTAGGCACACCTCCAGACTTCTCGGTGAAGACCGAAACAAAGAAGTCATTGAGCATCTCCGCCATTTCCAAGTTTCCTGTTACTGCTTCTCCCTCCTCACTAAGCAGTGGGCCTACCCTGTCCTTGGTCTTCCTCTTGCTTTTAATGTATTTATAAAAAGTCTTCTTGTTTCCCTTTATGCCTGTAGCTAGTTTGATCTCATTTTGTGCCTTTGCCTTTCTAATCTTGCCCCTGCATTCCCGTGTTGCTTGCCTATATTCATCCTTTGTTAGTTGTCCTAGTTTCCATTTTTTATATGACTCCTTTTTTATTTTGAGATCGTGCAAGATCTCCTTGTTAAGCCAAGCTGGTCTTTTGCCATATTTTCTATCTTTCCTACACAGTGGAATTGTTTGCTTTTGGGCCCTTAACAACGTCCCTTTGAAATACTTCCAACTCTCCTCAGTTGTTTTTCCCTTCAGTCTTGCTTCCCATGGGACCTTACCTACAAGTTCTCTGAGCTTATCAAAATATGCCTTCCTGAAATCCATTACCTCAATTGTGCTGGTCTCCCTTCTACCTTTCCTTAAGATCATGAACTCTATTATTTCGTGATCACTGTCCCCTATACTGTCTTCCACTTTCAAGTTCTCAACTAGTTCCTCCCTATTTGTTAAAACCAAATCCAGAACAGCTTCTCCTCTGGTAGCTTTTTCAACCTTCTGAAACAGAAAGTGGTCTCCAATGCAGTCCAGAAACTTATTGGATAGCCTGTGCCTCGCTGTGTTAGTTTCCCAACAAATGTCTGGATAGTTGAAGTCCCCCATCACCACCAAATCTTGGGCTTTGGATAGTTTTGTTAATTGTTTAAAAAAGGCCTCATCCACCTCTTCCACCTGGCTAGGTGGCCTGTAGTAGACTCCTAGCATGATATCACCCTCGTTTTTTACCCCTTTTAGCTTAACCCAGAGACTCTCTACACAGCTATCTCCTACGTTCATCTCCACTTCAGTCCAAGTGTGTACATTTTTAATATACAAGGCAACCCCTCCTCCCTTTTTTCCCTGTCTGTCCTTCCTGAGCAAGCCGTACCCTTCCATACCAACATTCCAATCATGCGTCCCATCCTACCAGGTTTCTGTAATTAGCCCCACCCCAGCCAAAGAGGGCTCAGTGCAGAACATGTTCAGTGTTTATTAAATGACAGTCCCAAGCAGCAGCAGCAGCACAGGCAGATGGCTGCTGTATCACGGCCTGGCAGCTTGTGCCCCTTCACCAGGTCTGTTTGGGGGCTGGGGGGAGAGAGGGTCAGGCAAGATCTTCCATGTCGATGAGCGGCAGCGGAGCCCTCCAGTAGGAGAACTGGCTGTACTCTGGCCACAGCAAAGTAACACGAGCATCAAGACCTAGCGGGGGGAAGATCAGCTCCACCAGCTCAGTCAACCGCTCGTACCTACAAGGAAAAGGATCGACTTACAGGGTTACAAGGACATTTCCCCTCCTCAGCCCAGGCAAATGAGCAGCCTGGAAGGTGCTTATGGCACATGCTTCTTCACAGCCAGTGCACCGTGACCCAGCCCTCTACCCCCTTGAACATGGCAAATCCAGCATAGGTAGCCCAAGAAACCCTGTGCACTGGCAGGCAGCTGCAGCCCACCCACCACACTGGTGGGTGTATGAAGTCTGGTGGGCTAACACTGCAGGAGACAGCTGACATGAGAGAGGCCTGCTCCCCAGAAGGAAGCCATGTTTGGTAGGCACAGGCAAAGACTTCCTAGGGGAGGTCCAAGCCACTCCTAGGACGCTGACTACGGAGCCCAACCTTCTCAGAGGCTTCCCCCTTCCCCCAGCCAGCTTCTCTTCCAGGCCTCCCCCCTGCAAAAGGAGAGTGGGACACAGAGCTGGCCCAGGGACACAGAGCTGGCCCAGACCCATGGTGTGCCAGGGATCAAGCAGGGTTAATGCCACAGGCGGTTACTGGTATGAGCTTCTCCATGTGTGCCATGTAGGAACCAGACCACAGCAGCTTCCCCACAGCCCATGCTGGGCTACAAAGAGGGCCAGGGGCAGCCCAGCTGTCTTAGGGGCATGAAAGGTGATGGCAGGGGCAGCTCCCACTATAAACACATGACAGTGGGCAGATTGGCTTACGTGGATTTCTGGTTTTTGAGGAGCTCCAGGATCAGTTCCCCCTTTGGGTTGACTGTGAATATACGGGACTCTGACAACCCCACTTGCTTGTAGGCATCGACATCCTGCCAGAGAAAGGCCAGCCAGAGCAGTCAGAGCCCAGGAAGCACCGCCGCCTCCCCCCCACGCCCCGCCATTGCTCCCCCCAAGCAGGGAGGGTGGCACTCACATTGACTCTGTTCCCAAAGGCGGCATGGAAAGGCTGACTCCTGGCACCAAACAGGTTCCGGATGTCTGTTAAACAGGCGATTTTGAACACCTCTGGCTTCTTCTCTATCACCTCCCTGCAACAGGAGAGGTGGAGGTCAGGAGCGACAGAGCCAGGCTGGTCCAGGGCCTAGACAGCCAGGACTTCATTGCGGTTGTGCTCTCCAGCAGCCCCAAGACAGTCAAGGGGCAGCATTACCCCACCCTACCAGGGAGTCCCAGCCGCTCCCTGCGAAGCAGGTGATGAGACGAGACATGGAGGAGCCCAGCCCCCGCTCATGACAACAGCTGCCAGCCAGAGCAAGTACAACTGGAGCAGGACCTTTCCTATTCCAGGGGAAATCTCCGAGCCAGGAGCAGTTTGGCTTAGCAGTGCAAGGCATAACCCCACTGGGGACGAGACCACAAGAGCAGGAGCCAGAGGTTCCTAAAGCCAGGACCAAGTTGCAGGCTTGACTGAGACAATGTGGACACTAGAATGGTTTTCTGGAATCTGCGTACCTTTTTCCGATAACTTTTGTCAGAAGAGGCTTTTCTGAAATGTGGTCCATCTACACTGGGCCAAATTATGGAAAAGCCTCCTCTTGCGGAAGATTCCTTCTTCCTCGTGGAATGACAGGGCTTCCAAAAGAGCGAGTCTGCTCTCCCGCAAAAAAGCAAGAGCAAACACGTTCCCTGGACACAACGGGGTTTCCAGGATACCTCCTGTATCCCAAGAGACCCCGTAGTCTAGTCGTATCCCAAGTTGCTTGGCAGTAAAGCTATTGCCCGTATCCTGAGAGGAGGGGTTGAGAGATCCAACCCCAGGGAACTGGGCCCCCAGAGGAGGACAGAGACCGTAGCCTTGTCCCTAAACAGACACCTGCAGCAAGACATTGCAGGGAATCAGGCTCGAAATGGGTGGATTACGCATCTAAAGACCATCACACATGGCAGGAGGCAGAGCAGGTATGCAGATGAAAGCAGAGACGGGCTGAACACGGCCAGGGAGAAGCCTGGCTAGGGGTTTCAAAGGCTCTGAGACCCATGTCATGCAGCACAGAGGTCTGCATGGTTCCTGCTCATGAGGGCTTTTACCCAAGTGCTTACACCACTCCCTTTACGGAGAGGATGCCAGTGCATCAAATTCAAGCAACATGGGTGCAGACTCAAGCACAGCTGCTCCAGGGAAGGGGAAGGTAACAGGACACGCCAGGGAAGAGCTACCTGTGAAAGGCTGAGAAGAGGCTGCTGGGGGCCAGCAGGATGGGTCCCTTGGGGAGGGCACAGCCCTGGTCATTGACCCATTTCAGGTACCCTTTGGTGATGTGCGCCATGCCAATGGCCCGGGATGAACAGTACAGGAACTTGTAGCCATTCCTAGAACAGAGGAGGCAGGTGGTCGTCTCGGGCGAGGTGCAGCATAAGGATGTGTCTTGCCACTGCATGCTGAGGTTTGGAGACAGAACCACCAGCTCCGGCCCCCCACAACACGGGCACACAAAGCCACCCTGCCCCCGTGCACGAGGGGCTGCTGATTACATCTGGCCATGCTGCTCTCCATGGGCTCAGCTGCATGGGTCTGGGAGAGTGCAGCACAGGGCACTCAGGTCCCATACAAAGATGCAAGCCCACCGACCAGTGGGGACAAGACAGGCAGCTGCCCCGGAGCCTGGTAATTCAAAAGGGCCCAAGACTACTACAGAAGCGGCTGGAGCCTGGGCTCTTAGCACTGAGCCACATGCTGTGCGGGGCTCCGAGGGTTGCCACGTTCCAGGCAGTGCAGAGAGGGCTGGCTGTCTCCGCCCTGCCCCTTCCAGCAGGCAGAGCCCCCCTTCCTCTTCCTCCCACCCCCCCAAACACACCCTGGCTAGGGGCCTGAGGAGGCTGCCTGCTCCTCTGCCAAGAGGTCATTGTGGGCTCATCCCAAGAGCTGCCACAGACAACAGCATCTCCTCCCCATGAGCTCCAGTCCTGCAGCGGCTTTGGTCGATCTGCAGGAGGTGGCTTGACACAGACTCAGTGCCCTCAGCCTCTCACCACCCCAGTGCAGCACTCCAACCCAGACAGCTGCCACCTGATTTCCTGGCACACCACAGGCTCCAAGAATGGCCTCCCATCACGCATCAGCGAGCAGAGGTGCTGGAGCATGGGAAGGTCAAGCCACAATCAATGCTCATTGACAGGGGAGTGGGGGGGGAGCGGAGGGGAGAGAGAATGGGAGCACATCAGGGTGCCCAATGGCTACCAGCTTTCCTAATCAGGCTTATCAGCATTCGGTGAGTGTCCTAGCACACAGCGCTTGGCCCATACTTGTCAAGAGCCTACTCAGCTGCCTGCACAAGAATACCTAGCTATTGCTGAGTTATGTAACTCAGCCTGGTGCAGAGGAGAGAGACAGAGACAGACAGACAGTCGACTTGCAATGAGCTGGGACGAACTTTTGGAAGTGAGCTTATGGGTATGCAGCTAGTTCCTGAGGGAGAACGGAGGCAGGCAGGGGAGGCCAACCAAACTAGATATGGATCCTCTTGCTCTCAGACACAGTCTACTGAAGCTTCAGGGGGTAGCCAAGTTAGTCTGTACAAGATAAACTTGAAAAACAAGAAGTGGTCTGGTAGCATTTTATAGACTAACAAAACATGTCGATGGGATCATGAGCTTTCATGGGCACAGCCCACTTCTTCAGATGACCAGAAGAAGTGGGCTGTGCCCACAAAAGCTCATGATACCATCCACAGTCTATAAAGTGCTACCAGAACATTTATTTATTTTTTTTACACTCTACTGAGTAAGAGACGCTGACAAGACCATGATTCTCCTGGTCAAATTCTCCCCTCTGTGGCTTAGTTATTCGCTTACTAATCCCAGCAGCCCCTCTGAGGACAGCAGACACGGGGGCTCACCATGATACACTGTCCTCTCTGTGCCTTGCTCAGTCACCCATCAGGAAATACACTGAAGCCAGCCAGGCTCCTTGCAGCTTCAAGTACACCCAGCAGGCACACAGCACCCCCTAGTGGTGGCTCTGAGATCACACAAGAAAACGTGGACATAGCAGACAGCCAAGGGAACACACCTGCCAGTGGTACCCTTTGGGACGATGGAGCATGCCAAGAGAGCGATTCTCATTGCCAGGATACACAAGCAACTCTTAACCCAGATCTAGCTCAGTTTACAAAAAATAAAAGCCACTCTCCAGGTGCGTTTAAATGCAGTTGCCTTTGCAGTTCCCAACCCAAGAAACACAGGTGTCTACACTATGGATGCCTCAGGGCTGGAACACCCATGGGGGGGGG